GCAGGAAGGGAGAGAACAAGGGAATCTGTGGCTATTATGTAGAACTGAATAGTATTGTAAAATAAATTTAAAAAAACAATAAATAGAGTTCTGTTTTCAGATTTTGGAGGGCAAACAATAATATTGGCAAGAGCTTGTAATATTTGGAGGTCTATGGGGCACTACAGGCCAAGAATTTCAAAATGCACTCATTTCTGGCAAAGGGCTTTTTATTTGTTAGTCAGCAATGTCTACTATGAGTACTGTTAGCTCATTACAGAGTTACTCCATTTTAAATATATATATTGAGTGCAAATTTCTACAGCAAAAAGCAAATTTCCATATAACTTTATATGAGATCCTAAATGTTAGTTAATCTCTCTTTTCCTGCATTTCCATCCACTACCCTTTTTAACCCTTCTTGTTCCCATTATAACTTTTACCCTTGGATACTACTGCACTCTATCTCAACTCCCTTGAAAGCACCTTCCCCTGACATGTGCACATGGCCCCATATGAATATTATGACCTCAAAAGAGCGATAATAATCTGAACTGCATGGTGCTGACATCAAAATAGACACACTGAAAATGGAATCTGACAAAGTATAATACATGAACTCAGCGCCACAGGAAAGGACTTTGGGGAACGAACAACAGTAACTCAGGACTTAAAAGCAGAAATATATAAATGTGACCTCATAAAACTAAAAAGCTCTGTACAGAAAAGAATGCCATCATTCAAGTAAAGAGGGAACCTATGTTATGAAGGAAAGCTTTATCTGTAATATCTGATAGAAGCTTAGAATCAAGAATATACAAAAAACTATACATCAAGGAAAGAAACTTTCCAATTATTAAGTAGAGAATGGAACTAAATAGGTGTATTTCAATGATGAAACAGTTTTGCATGAGAAACATTTTCTAAATGTTTCACATCTTAGCAAACATAGAAATACAAACCAGAACTACTTTAAGATTTCTTCTCACCTCAATCAGAATATCTGTGGTGAAAAACACAACTGACCACAAATGCTGGTGTGGATTTGGAGAAAGGGGAACATTTATTTGTAGTTGGTGGGAGCATAAACTAGTGAAGCCACTGTGGAAATTAGTGCGGAGGTTACTCAAAGGAATCTAGAAACAAATCTACTACACAATTCAGCTACCATGCTTAGTCAGAGAAACAAAGGTCTCTATAGCATAGTATACTTGCTTATATTCAGTAAATCCATAACATAGAGATAGTCTTGCTGTCCATCCACAGATAAATTTATATTAAAACTGTGTTACATTACACAATGAGACATGATCCCACTGCTAAGAAAAGTGAAATTGTGAAAATTACAGCTGAATGGATGAAGAAGGAACAGTGAGTTAACTCAGACCTAAAATTCAAATATCACATATTTTGTGGATGTTAGCTTTGATTTTTCAAATATGTATTCCCTTTGCAGTACCCCATGTAATGTTGTAGTAATTCTGTGGATTCAGGTCCATGTATATTCCTTTCATTTATGGTTTTATTTTATATATAGTTTCAGATATAAGCACTTTCTTCACATCTCTATGTACAAGAATGGTTTTGTTACATAATGAACAAGATTCTTCCACTGACAGTATTTGTGTGTCCCAAGAATTTCATGTTGGACACTCTGATATCAGTGGGAAATCTTCTCATGAAATTTTTCAGTAGCTACATTTCCCATGAAGCCACCTCATTTACATAGATTTGTCTCTTTGTCAAACTCCCTGAATAAATGCTTAGTTACATGTATTTTATTTTAGATAAACATGTATTTTGGTAAATGTGTGAAAAGTTCAAGCTTTAAACCTTTCAGTGATGTTTTGTCACCTTTCATATCAATATCAATATTCCCTCCATCATCTATAAACTGAGACAAAGTACACATGTCTTTTCTGGTCTCTTAAGGAGTCTATACTGTTTTTACTTTCTATCTATCTATCTTTCTTCCTTTCTTCTTTCCTTTCATAAGAGGACAATTGTATGGACTCCATCTAAAGTTTTATGTATGATATGTATGCATATTCTGAAACATGTTATGTCTATAGAATTTCTGTACTTATATAAGTCTATGTGCACGCATATATGTAAGTTGTATTTTTCTGTCTTATATGTATGTGGTGTAAGCACACAGGTGCTTGAGTAGATGACTCGATGTGTATGGTTGCTAAATGAACACATTTTGCCATGTTCTTCACTCTGTCTACCTACTTTATTACCATAAGATTGGGTCTCTCATGGGACATTGTGCTAGGCTGACAATCACTAAGTAAAACGCATAAAGTTACATATCTCTGTTTTCTCTGTAAAGCTCATGTGACCATTACTTCAAAAGAAGTTTATAAATATTGACCTTGGTTCACCAAAAAATCATAATGCTTTTCATGGTTATACCTTCAAGAGCGTCACATGGGTTCTATATGGGAAAAACACAGTACCTACAGTTTATGCACATTAAATGGTCTTGTATTTTTGGCTGATTTTAAAGCAACATGTAATAAAAGCAAAGTGCTTAGGAGTAAATCCAAATATATTAATAGAAGATGGCACCTACCCACCAAGTAGCAAATAACATATGCAACACTTAGCTGACTGTTCATGAAAAACAGTCAAGAAACATCTTCTTCCAGGTAACCTTTATTCCAAAATTACAAAATAGAAGGGAAAAAAACCTGATCTTTCTATGGAGTAATGAAAACTCAACATATGTAAAAAGGAGAAAACAATGTAGTGATTTATATCATGTGATAGAATCCTGTGCTGTTCCATTAAGCTATGTGAAAAATGGCTTAGAGACCTGAAAATTATATCAGATTCTATATTTGACTATGGGACATGAGGTAGAAGCACAATTATCTCAGTTATGCAGCCTTGTCTGTCCAGTAAATCCTGGAACTCGTGATGTTTTCTGAAGCACAGTGCAGAGATGTGTGATGCTGCAATGCCTGTGGTTTTCCTCAACAACAACCCAGCTGTATAAAAGGCCCTTGACAGATGGTGACAGCCAGACTCAAGGAACCTACTACTTATCACCCTCTGAACAGTTCACTCACTCCTGACACCATGTGTTACTATGGAGGATACTATGGAGGCCTGGGCTATGGCTATGGTGGCCTAGGCTGTGGCTATGGCTGTGGCTATGGTGGCTATGGTGGCTATGGTGGCTATGGTGGCTATGGTTATGGCTGCTGCCGCCCACTGCCTATAGAAGGTACTGGTCCTGTGGATTCTACTGAGGAGATTCTGTAGCTTCTCACTCTTTCTTCACTTCAGAGGTTCTTAAATCTTCATAAATTCCAACCATTATTCAAACTATCTGACGAATAATAAATGAAACACAACATTGCCACCTATTCTTCTTTAATTTGAATGCATGAGTACGTGCAGCAATGATCCTCATTGTCATCATAATGCCTTGTAAAATGTGATCTGTTTGTATCCATCCCCATTTTATGAATACATATGCTTTTAAATAAAGTATTTCCTTGAACATATTGTTTTCCTAAATGGGAGATGTCTTTTTGTGTATTTATAACTGTTTGGTTACTATTGTGTTATTGTATTTAAATGTAAGAAGTAAAGGATAGAAAGGAAGAACAAATTATATATAGAGAGAGAAAGAAAAAGTGGAAGAGAGAGAGACAGAGAATAAGGAGGAAGGAAGGAAGGAGGAAGAAAGAAAGGAAGGAAGGAAAAGGAGAAAGTAGAAGGAAATGTCCTCTTTGAACATTCTTCTGTTGGTAGACATTTTTATTATGTTCATATTCCTGCTATTATTATGTCACAACGAATTTTGTAGTGCAAATATTTCTCCAACATCAACTCCTTTTGTCTCCTATTTAAACTATGAGAATGCTCGTGAATTGGTGCTCTAAATATCTGGGTATAGTTTCTACAGTACCTTCTATAATGACTGTCACCATACACATTCTGTTTTTAGGGTTCCCTTTACTTCACCTGTTCTCTAACAGCCATTTCCTTTCTAATATCCATTTTATCAACAACTATAGAGATCAATTATTGTGACTTTGACTTAGGGTTTTGAAAATTCACCATTGGTCATCTATAGATTTTTCTTTTGAAAAGTATTTATATTTTTCCAATTATTTTAAGGTCAATTAATTTTCATCATGCAGTTTATTTGTAGACATTTCACATAAATTTTGGGTTTTGACTTCCTAGTCTTTGTATAGAATACTGTGTGAATCATCCTGCTGGGCAGAACCTTCTAGATGGATATAAGAAAACCTTTCTATTTTCTTTCTGTTGATGGTACTTTTGAAGTCACATCCAGTTATTTATGACAACAAGCAAATAATCTTTTCCACTCTGTATTCCTTTTCTTATTAGTTCTTAGAGAACCTCATACCTGTAGTTGAATAAAATTCATCATTCCCCCTCTCTTCTCAGACTCCCCCACTTTATGCCTGATCAACTTTGTGTCCTCTTTTTTTCTTAAACCCATAATGCCCAATTTATGTTGCCTATGTC